TCTTAATTTTAACTTTATTATTTATAATTAATAAGCTTAAAATAATAATTTTATTTTAAGTTATAAAATATAAAAAAAACTAACTATTTTTTATTATTAAGAAATTAACTTCTCTTTTAATACTTATTTTATTATAATTAATTTTTAATATAGTAAATTTTACTTAAATAGCTTTTTTTAAAAATAATTTATTATATTTATATTATAAATTTTAACTTTAATATAATTTTAAATTCTTTTAAAATTTAAAAGATAAATTAAAAAAATAAAAGTTAAATTTTCTCTTAAGCTTTTTTAAAAATGAAAATTTATTTAAGTTATTATTATATTATTTATAATATTTAAATAAAAGCTAATAAATTATATTAGCTATTTTAAATATTATTTACTTTTTAATAATAAAATTAAAATTAATAAATAAGAAAATTAAATTCTTATTTATAATCTTATTTTATTTTTAATAAGAGAATTTAATATTTAAATTTATTATATTTTTATTATATATATATTATAATTATTAAAATTTAAATTTTAAGTTTCTAGCTATTTTTTTCTTTTTTATTAAAATTCTATTTAACTTTTTTAATTTAATTTAACCTTAATAAATATACTAAAAACTTCTATAACCTAACTTAATACTTTAAAATCCAGCTAGTATCTTAAATAGCTAGTATCTATACTAACTTAATATAATATAATAACTTATTAAATTAGAGGTTATATTAAGCTTTAGTAATATTTTAAAAAAAGACTTAATCTTTTAAATTAGAATTATTAATATTTTTAGCTAAGTTATAAAATATAGCTATTTCTATTTAAATATATAAAATAAGATTATAAATAACAATTTAATTTCCTTATTTATTAATTTTAATTTTGTTAAAGTCCAATAAATATATAAATACATATATATAACTTCTATTAGCTAGAATCTAAGCTTAAATATAAGCTTAAAATTCTAGATAAAATCTTATAATATAACACTAAAATACGGTACTAATAACACTATTTATACTGTATGACTAATCTATCCGATTCGGCTTATTAATCTATCCGAGCTTAGAAATTAAGTGTTTTAGTTTATAAGCATAGACTTTCAATTCCTCCGTGATTTGAAATCAAGACTACTCGGCAATTAGGGAACATAGGAAGACATATTCAATACCATCTTGAAGCTGAATCTCTGGGCTTTCCAATGGTATTATTTTTATCCTAATATCTATATATCTGCCGGCTGAATTTGTCTATAAAAGAAGAGCTTCCTCTGGGGTTTATTTCTTCTCTTTTTATCTATATACATCATCAATAATATACACTATATTATACTATCTTATATACTATTATCCCTTATCTTATCTAATCTCTTATCTCTATATCCTTTATAAGGATATCCCTTTATCTATAATTAATTCTATTCTTCCACTGCCTTATAACCTCGAATATATATAAATAAAAGTAATTATTTTTTATTAATTTTATAATTAATTAACTTTTAATTCTTATAATTATTATTAATTTTAACTATTATTATAACTTAATTTTTTATAAGTTTTATAAAGTAATTAATATATCTACTTAATTATTATTATTATAATTAAAGCTTAATTCTTTACTTATAATATAATAATGTAAATATTTATTATTATTTCTTAATAAGGGAATTTAATATTTAAATTTACTATATTTTTATTATATATATATTATAATTACTAAAGTTAAAGTTTAAATTTTAAGCTACTTTTTTCTTTTTTATTAAAATTCTATTTAACTTTTTTAACTTTAATCTTAATAAATATATTAATAATTCTTATAATTTAACTTTTAAAATACTTTAAAATTTAAGTTATTTAAATCCCCTCTTTAATTAATATTTTAAATAGCTAGTATTTATACTAGCTTAATATAATATAATAACTTCTTAAATTAAAAGTTATATTAAGCTTTAATAATATTTTAAAAAAACAACTTAATTTCTTAAATTAAAATTATTAATATTTTTAACTAAGTTATAAAATATAGCTATTTCTATTTAAATATATAAAATAAAATTATAAATAAGAATTTAATTTTCTTATTTATTAATTTTAATTTTATTATTAAAAAGTAAATAATATTTAAAAATAATTAATATAATTTATTAGCTTTTATTTAAATATTATAAATAATATAATAATAACTTAAATAAATTTTCTTTTTTAAGAAAATTTAAGAAAATATTTAATTTTTATTTTTTTAATTTATCTTTTAAATTTTAAAAAAAATTAAAATTATATTAAAATTAAAGTTTATAATATAAATATAATAAGTTATTTTGAAAAAAAGCTACTTAAATAAAATTTACTATATTAAAAATTAATTATAATAAAATAAATATTAAAAAAAAATTATAAAAAACTTATAAAAAATAGCTATAATAAAAATAATAGAAAAATAATATTAAAAAAGAAATTTTTTTATAAAATTTAAAAAAGCCTTAAATAAGCCTTAAATTCTTAAGCTTTAAGAAATATAAAAATAAAAATATATTTAAAGTTATTAAAAGTTTAAATTAAAAATAAGAAAAAGATAAAAATAAAAACTGCTAAGATAATATAAAGCCTATCTTATAATATAGCAAAGTAAATTAACTCTAGAAATAATAAAATTGGAATTTTAAGTAAATAGCTATATAAGCCTGGTATCTATATATATACTAACATATAAGAATTACATAACTAGAAGAAGAAAAGGCTAGGTTTTAAGATATTAATAGCAGTCTGGAAGGCTACTATAAAGATATCTAGAGAACTAAGTTAAAAAGAGTAGTTATAGTATTACTAAGGCAATTATAGAGAAGATAAAGAAGGTAAATTGTAGTATTAATTGCTGCAAACCTATATATAAATCCCTAATAACTTCTTTATAACTTAGAGGCAGCTAGAATTAAAAGATAGATAAATACATATTATATAACTTAAATAAGACTAGTAATAAGATTACTAATATAAATTTAATAATAATAATAAGCTTTTTAAGATAGTAAAGTAAAATTGTAGTAAGGTTTTTATTTTATAGCTAGATAATTAAAAGATTTTTTCTTTTTAAATTAAATAAAGAAATTTTATAAATTTAAATATAAGTAAAATAGTATATATTAAATAAATAAATAAATAAATTTTATTAAGTATTTTTATAAGATAATAAAAATAAAAAATTTAAAAAATTTAATTATATAAATAAATAAAAAGTTATTAAAATTTAAAAAAAAAGCTTTTAATTTCTTATTAATTTTAAATATTTTAAAAATTATAATAATTTTATTTTAATAATATTTATATAAATAGAGTTTTTATATTTATTAACTTTTTATTTATTAAATTGTTATAAATTAAATTATTTAAAATAATATATTATAATAATTATATTAAATTACTATATTATAAAGTAAAAAATTAATTAATAATTACTATAATAATAATTATTTAAATATATTATTATATTATAAAATTTCTATTAATTATTTAATAAATTAAGCTATAATATATACTTATATAAATAACTTTATATATAGTAAAATTATAAAATATTAATAAATAATAATTTTTTTAAAATTAAAATAAATATTAATTTATATTAAAAAAAAGATTATAATTAATTTATTAATTATATTTAAAATACAAATTAATAAATATAGCTATATTACTATAAATAAAGTAATATATATAATCTACTATATAAAGTATATATATATATAAGCTAGATTTATATAAATTAAAATTCTTAAAGATAAATTTCTATATACTATTAAAACTTATTATAATTATAATAGCTTATATCTTTAAAGCTATAGAAAAAATAGTAAAATTTATCTAAATATATATAGAAAGATATTATATATAATAAAATATTCCAGAACTAGTAAGTAATATACTATTTACTCCTACTTATATAAACTAGTTAATACTTAAGCAGCTAATACTATTAAATAACTTCTAATAGAATCTGCTTAATAATCCAGGATAGCCCCTTTTTTCTAGAGCAATAATACAGTCTTATGTACACTAAGTTGCTACTCATAGCTGGAAAGATAACAGAAAGACAAGTAGTTGCTACTAGTAGCTGGAGAGATAATAGAAAGAGGGACAGGCTGTTGCTACTAGTAGCTGGAGGAGGGGCAAGTGGTTGCTACTACTCCGTAGTGGCTGGAGAGGTATGCATGGGAACGGCGGTGAGGTTTATCCGATCCCGCGCAGAAAGGTGTCACGTGCGATAGAACGTTCCAGAACCGGGAATTTAGATGTTGTTGTTCGCGCCTACTCGTCGGAACAACTCAACGCAGTCAGGCAACTGAAAGCTGACACCCAGAACCACTCACCATGCAGGGAGAACGCTACGCAGTCAAGCGAGAGCGATTCGTCGTTAGCGCTCGCACCCTCGCATCCCTCGTCGAAGGTACAAGCAGAATAAAACAGGAGACCGGTCCCCTACGGGGTCCGCCAATGCCTTTCGGAACGAGCCTGAGAAGTAAGGCACTTGCCTTGTGTTGTCTGCGCTGCGCAAAATCCAGACTCCTTACAGTTCCCCTCGATCAATCCCAATCCCAATCCCAATCCCAACCGCCTCCACCTCCACCACCACAGCTTCCGCCCGAGTAACTCCCCCCGGACACCAAGCACTCATCGTTGACTTCTACGTCGACCTTGCCCGTAGCGAGCCTAGAGTATCACGACCGATGCCGCCCATGCCTACCCTTAGTGAAGATAGACAATTCTACAGCCTCTCCTTTGGTACCCGACGAGATCAGCCGTTAACAATTGAGGTATTTTAGGCTGGAGAATAAACCTGGAGACTTTGAAGGTATTAGGAATTGAATTGGTGAAGAGATGAAGGAATTCGTGGAAGGATTGGAAATGGCATTGTGCATATCTAGGGTGGCGCAAAAGAAAAAAGAGGGGTGGGGGTGGTGCAGAAGTAGGCCACGGGCAATAATCGAAACAAACCATTGCCATTATCTGAGAGATTTAAAGACTGTACTGAGCAGCCAGGTCTGCATCAACAATGAACAACATCTTGCCCTTAACCACACTTCCTGAGATCAGATCGTCATGTGCTTGTATAGCCTCGCTTAAGTGGAACAGCTTAGCGATAGCCGGCTCCAACTCTCCGCTCCGAACCTTTTCCAGGATGATGCTAAAATCAGCCAGAAAAGTACCCGGTTCCCATTTACCGTCTTGGTAATGATCCTGGCCAATAGCGAAGAACCTCATCCGCTCCTTAAGCCGCAACGCGAGGGTGTCCTTCACGCTTCGCGCGATCCCACTACCATCTGCCGAAATCTCCGACATGATACCAATCACAATGACCTGCCCGATCTCTGCCTTCGTCGCAGCCAGACTGTTTTGGAGACTCTCCTCGCTACAAACCGCATCATACGCAACGTCCACACCTTCGCCGCCCGTCAGTGCCCGAACTTGCTCGACAAGATCAGAAGCATTGCGATCAATTGGCTCCACGCCAAGAGATCTAACGTAGTCGAACTTGGAGGGGGAGCATGTTCCTATCATCTTGATGCCCATGTCGAGGGATGTGACCAGTTGTGCAGCAGCCGTGCCGACGCCCCCACTCACGGAGCCGATCAGTATGCTGGACCCAGGAGTGAGTTGGACTCCGCTATGCTTAAGCATGCCATAGGCCGTCAAGTAATTGAGTGGGAGAGCGGCCACCTTGACAGGGTCGTCGGTGGGCTGGATGGGTAGAAGCTCCATGTAAGACAGGATAGCATGAGTCGCATGGGAGCGGGTGACGCATAGGGCGGCAACACGATCTCCAACTTTGACATTGCTCTCTTTCGGTACCGAATCGCCAAGTGCTATGACTTCGCCGACACAGTCGTATCCTGGTGTGAAGCCAGGTTTGGAGGTCTGGGGTACAGGATAGCCGCCTGTCCGTTGGATGTTATCTGCGCCAGCGATGCCGGCTACGATTATGCGGACGAGAACATTTTCGCCAGAGAGCTCGGAAGTGGGATCCCAGGTCTCCCATTTTAACACGGATGGAGTGCCAAATTCGGTGACTACCCAATGGCCTGGTTGATCAGGCGTGATGCTGGTATTGGGCGTTGACAAGGTGAAAGACATGATTAAAGCTGATAATTCCAAGGTATCAAGGACTCCAAGCTGGGCGTATGCGGTAGACTTGTGGAATAAGGAGAGGCGAAGATGCCTTTATACATATTAGGAGCCTGGTGCTGATGTACAACTACATAATATGCGCCGGTCGGAAACTTGTCGGGCCCGAGCCCCCGCATGATTATAAATCTGATTAGTTAATTCATAAACCTGTGGGCTACCTCTGATGCTCCGGGGCTTCTTGCGGGAAAAAGGGAACCCGGTCGCGGCCAAGCAATCCTCACGGTAAATGGCATGGGGTCGATGGCGGGGCGGAGAGAGGTGGCGCGAAAACGGAGTTCGATGAAGAAGGTTGAAGCTGATTGGCCCGAGAAGAGAAAACCCCCCAACTGTATTCCTACTTGGCTGTAGCCGCTTTTGCTTACGCAGTTATTGTTAGATTCACTAGGGTGCTACACCTGAGGTGAGCCCAAGACATCCTGGGTTGATGATTATGTGTTGAACAGAAGGCATCTGCGGGGTGGTTACGTGAGAGTCACTGGTCTTGAGATTGCATGTGGATACAGCAGATCTGTCAGAGGCAGAGACCTCGGAGACACAGAAGAAGAACAGATACAACAATCAATCAATCGGATATGAATGGGCTGAATACCCGCATTGTCTAACGGTTCTGGCCACTCGCTTAACTAACGCTACTAGTTTCTTAATTTTATTTAACTTTTTACTTCTAAACGCCTGCCCGTCTGGTGTCAAACGCCTGCGCGGGCAGAGCTTATCTCTGGTCGCCCTTTTTTTTGTCCGTGGCATTAACGCCGGAATTACTAAACAGGCACCCAAAGCACCAGGCTAGAATCGCCCGCCGACGGCCAGAGCGTTTTGACCGCAGCCTTCTTTTGTGGCGCTTTCGCGTGAAGGGTGGAATATTCCAAAACTTTCCGCTGGGTACTACCAACTGAAGGTCTTTCTTGGTGTTTTCATCTGGCCTCATGGCCCGTCGTTTCCGCCCTTCACGCATCCAAGCCAGCCCGGCACATGGGTGACCAGCTATCGTCTCTGCCGCCTGAGTAGGCAAAGAAACCTACTCTTCGCTATACTACGCTTGAAGAAATGGAAGCGGGCCTCTATGGGAAGATACAACACATTCGTGCTTGTAAGTAGTCCCGAGCTAGGACTGCAATGGAGTTTCTGATCGCCATAACCGTGGGGTCAGCGCGAATTATTCCTGCGTGCGGGACCGTTCGGAGTGTAAAGCACAGACTTTGACGCCGGAACCCCGCTTTTAGTGCGTAAGCAGGTTGCATTAGCGCTCCCGACTGTCCCGCCCTACTTATACTTAATATCCAGAAAAGCGGCACCGATCAGCGGACGAGGAAGAATGTGGGGCTTCTAGCGCTAATGCAACCGACGACAGCGTCAGCAGCGCTAATGCAACCCACTTACGCACTAGCGTCGGGACGAGTAATTGTCAACTCATCCGTACTCTGTACGGACGGACGCATGGACGATAGATGCATGCTTTACCTGGCTTACCGGACTTCCGCTATATCATTAGTATTATTTTCAGAATAAATAAGTTATAATACTCTACAATTTCTTAATAAATATAGCTTAATTAGTTAATTAAGTAAGCCATTTATTAAATAAATTATTATTAATCTAGATACTTTCTAGGATCTACTGCCTTAAAGATGGCGCATGGGTTGTGGTATAGAAGGGGGCTATTACGGAGGCTTAGTTTGGTGGCGCGAGGCTCTGTGGTTGAGTCGTCACGGATCGTCTTGTGGTCCGAGTTTACGAAGGAGGGCGCGGAAGAAAGAACCTTTCGTTCCGAAAGGCATAAAGTTCAGTGCGCGGCACCCACGCCCATACTTTCTTCTTTCTTCCTTTCCCTTTAAATAGATACCTGCAAGGATACCTACAACTGCCTAACTACGATCCCAAGGCCATCAGGCGATACCTACCTAGGGCTTCGTCGCCATCTACCTGGAAGATAGTGAGTGGAAATGGACTACCTAAAGGGGCAAAAGGAGGTCATTACCGTCAGGGATGTGAATTGAATTACTTGACTTGATTGAATTATCTAGAGTTGGAAGGGAAGCCCTAAAGGCTGCCTTCAAGGACCCTTGTGGTACAGTGTGATCCCACAGTGTGTGGGATGATAGCACTGTGCCACTGTGTCACGTGATGAGACTGGACCCTGTCCTTTATATAGTGCTCGTCAGCATCGTTCTTTTCTTCACAAGACAAGTGCTTGTGTCAGGCTCTTCCTTTCACTTTCACAAGGCAAGCGCCTTGCTTCTCAGGCCTGTTCCGAAAGGCATTGGCGGGCCCCGTAGGGGACCGGTCTCCTGTATGTAGCTCTCGCTTCAAAGATTGCCGTGGCGCATGGGTTGTGGCGAAAGTGGCTCTCGAACGTGGCGAAGTTTACGGTTTAGTGGCGTGGATTTGTGGTGCAGCTCACACGGATCGCTTAGCGGCCCGAGCTTACGAAGGAGGACGCGGAAGGAAGAACCTTTCGTTCCGAAAGGCAAAGGCAAAACCCAACACTGAACGCGGCACACTGGAGACCGGTTCCCTACGGGGCCCGCCAATACCTTTCGGAACAGGCCTGAGAAGCAAGGCGCTTGCCTTGTGATGACAGGAGACCGGTCCCTCCGGGCCCGCCAATGCCTTTCGGAACGAGTCTTGTACTGTAGCGACTGCAAAGTCTGTCGCGGTTTTCCAATGTTAAAAGAGTTTCCGCACGGACCGTCTCTGTGGCGCGTTATGGGACAACTTGTATGTACATTTTGTGTGAGGGACATAACAAAAGCCTGAATCGGCTCTGACGACACGCCAGGCAGCAAGGCACAACCGTAACCCCCAAATCTGGCCTTTAGCAGCCCGGCGGCGTCCCAATTGTCATACGCAGTCACGTGCCATCGACATTCTGTCATGCTAACGCTAGTTATGGATGATGTTGGATACGGTTCGTCACATTCAATCCAGGGATTAGTGTTCAATAGGGTGTGGATCCTGAATATGTTGATTGTCTTGATCTAGGATGCCTCCGGCCCCCGCTTTTCCTGTGAGGGGTTTTTGTGTCAATCCCACCCTTTCTGACTAAGGTCAGGATATCGGTATATCAGAGGATTAGGATGAAGATGTGCATTTGCTCCAGCACTCCGCGCGACTAGGCTTAGCCGGGTGAGCTTCGCCGGCGGAGGCTCCTCTGCTTCGTGAGCCAGGCATCCATGAAGCCCTGATGGTGGCCTCTGACATACGCGTGCCAGAGTGGCTGCTTTTACTATTTACATAAGCTGTTGGATACGCAATTTGCTATATGCAATAGCAGAAGTGATTGATCAAATGATGTAAATTCAGAAGGTTGTTCTTTCATGGATTGAGGATCATAGGTGCCCTATTTTATACTCAAAGGGATCTAGATCAGGGTGTCAAAGGGAGACGGATCCGGCGTTGTTACTAGCATGGTGTATGGTTAAATTACTTGGGAGTTCTAATTGCGTGATATCTTCTTGATACTCACTATCAAGCTAGGGCGAGTTCAGTATTCAGCGAACATCTGCGATATTGACAGGCTGTTCAGATAACAGTTAAGTGCCGCAGCAGGAAGCATAGGAATTGTGTCTTGAATGATCTTTCTTGCTAAGCTAAAGCGGGGGAAGCTGCTGTCCCGGAAAGGTTCGGCGATGTCGGCTTGTTGCCCTACAAATCAGGCGGGAATTTGGACGGCGGGTGAACTAGGGTCTTACGTACGGGTCCCTACAAAACGCAGCAAATCGTGCGAGGGCCTCAATGAGCCTTGGGACGGCAGGCACAGGCTGCGAAAAGACAGGATGATCTTCGGTGATCATTATGGCAGACCAAGGCCGAAATTTGCGTTTCTCAACCTCGCACCGAACGATGACGGCTTGGGTAAACCCTGACGTGCTCTGTGCTACGCGTCGAGGGTAACGCAGCCGACTGTGGGGCGGCTGGATCACTGTCTATGTTGTCCCATTTCGAATAATCGATAGGCGCTATGGAGGGGGTGTGGACTGCGGGCTGAGGAATTTTAAGTTTGACTGACAGAGCTGATACACAAGGTTCTTAAGGATCCCGTAGTATTCAAGAATGATATACTTCATCGACGTTGAATGAAGGTTGCTGAATTCAACATGAACCGCGACGTTCGATCCTGTATAACCCGCGGACCACTAGACGATCTGTGCCTTTCTCAGCCCCAACCACGATGCCTAGAACACCACCGATGTGAGTTTCGGGACGAAAAGGTTCGTCCTTCTGCGCCCTCTCCTCCCACCCCTGAGGCCACCTTCGCCACGAATGCACTGCCGCAATTCACCGCCAACCCAAGCCACGGTTAGATACGGGGCTTTGTCCAACAAGTGACTGCATCCGTCAGAACCATGCCTCTGGGGTGTAAAACGTAAATAGGCATTAAGGATATGTAAGATGTCATTGGGATGGATTGGATCGCACCTAAGGCCATCCCTGGAGACCAAGTGTGAGGTCCTGCGAGGAAAGGAGCTGCTCTTTCATGGCCTTCAACTCCTCGACGTCCCAGTTCGACCAGACAAATTTACTCCTCAAAAACTCAGCTTCGGGGCTAACAATCCAGACCGCAAAAGAAGCTGGCAGTTCGACTATATTACATATTAGCACAGTTCAGCATTATCACTTTATAGAAGCAGCAGACAATCAGGTAACTTACTATCATCAAACAGGAAATCTAGGCCACCTTCGGAGCTTTTCTTGTACATGTCTATCTGGACAACACCTAGGTGGATGATGTGGACCCGGACCTGTGGGTTCTCGAAAGCGAAATATTCCATCATCCTAGCAGCTGCCATCTTGCTCACTGCGTACGCACTATTCGCGGGCATGGGAGAAATGTGACAACCACCGGTTGACACATGCACGAAAGTCGGATTCTCGGAGGCGTGCTTGAGGAAAGCTTTTGAAAGAATTAGGGTTCCTTTGACGTTGATAGTCATTCCCCGAAACCATTCCTCGACATCTGCTTCCGCGATCGGCTTAGTGTCGGGCAAGTAACCTGCGTTGCTGATGAGTATATCGATTTTGCCCAAGGCTTCCGAGATGCCCTCAAATGCTTTGCTGACCGCAGTTTCATCACTGATATCAGCAACCAATATATGAACTATCACGCCAGCATGAGCTGCCTCTACTTCTTGCTTTGTCTGCTCGAGACTGGACACAGTGCGTCCGAGAATGGCAATCTTGGTGGCTCCAGAAGTTGCGAATGCGTGGGCTATGCGAGGTCCCATACCAGAACCACCACCTGTAATGAGAACAACCTTCCCAGCCGTGGAGAGATCGGGACGAGAAGGGTCGATGCTGGAATAGGAGGTGGTGTGGAATGTTTTTGTATACAGTGGGAACGCCATTATTTCTTAATAGATTCTGCTTCGTAATGAAAGTTGGAAACAAGTAAGGAAGACTGTTTAATATCGAAAAGGCATAGGAAGACATCTAAGAGGTGCTTAAATATATATATGAACGCTATGGTAGAAATTCGGTACCACATGTAACCGGACTTATCGAGCTAATCAACCTTAACTCCAGAGTTCTCGGATCAACCCTAACTCCAGAGTTCTCGGCCAGTGAAGTTAAGTAGCTAGGGTGGATCACTCGGTAATAAACAACCTTTTTGATCGTTACAGTTAACGTCATACAGTAGCAAGCTCGCTTCCGCTCTCGCTCTCGCTTCAATATCAAAGCTGGGCGCCCCCCTTGCTTCGCCCGGACCCACAACGTGAGCTGAAGAGGCTTGCTCTTCATCAACGCATTCGTTGCCTCTAAAAATCTCTCATCGTGCTCTAGCCGCACCCATACCCAAACGTATGCTTGCACTCGTACCCGCCATCCAGTCAATCACATTGAAGAGAGTTTCGTCCGCCCACTCAAATTGGTGGTGCTCACTTCACGTGATACCTGGACAGTGCAAATTACGCCCTTTACAACTTAGAGCACTGTGTGCAACCCACTCGAACATCAATATCAATCCTTCGACTAAGAATGGATATCTTGGTGATTTCTCGGGACTTGAGCATGGCGTCGAGGACGCCAGAGCCGACCAAGCCGGTTGCGCCGGTGAGTATCAGATGCATGTTGCAAGACGGAGGTGTTGAACATCAAACCGACAATCACACTTCTTCCTTAAGGAATGAGTGGGTTTAGCGACGTTTAAAGACACACGCAAGGCGGTCTCGATTTGTCTAGTCAGGGATAGCGCAGTGTGGGCCAAGGCCACCCGATACTCAGCGTGGACAGGGGGGTAAGCAACCTGCATTAGCACTATTTCATGAACGAAGACCCAGTTTTGCCACGGTAGTGATGTGATGCTCAATGAAAACCTTGTCGGTGGCTTCTGGCGGTCATCTTACTGCGTTCGCGCCAAGCAACTTCACATTCCAATTCCATTCCAGTGCCTGTCAATCTCCATAGGCCCCCACTTGGTCCTATAGCCCTGTCAGTATACGCACGATGGCGGCCTGCTTAGCCTCCTGCATGTATGGGCTAGAATCAATACCCTGAGCATGATCGACAGGGTGACATCAGGTGAAAGGGCCCACACGGGAACCGCACAATGTTTGCCTGCATGCTGCTTATTCCCCTGCTAACTATCCCCTACAATAGTTGGCTTTTACGCTTTTAAGATGATTGTTTTAACCATTAAGTCCCTAAACTCCGAATCTTGAGGAGTCCATACATAGCGAATAACTTGGTCGGTGCGGCCCGACTGCAGTTCGTCAGGGCGAGCTTCTTTGACGACGGAGCGGGGGGGGGGGGGGCATAAAGAACTCCTCGATGGGATTGATAGAATCGATGTGCCACTATCCATGCACGTATACCCCTTCCCCCAAACGGATGAATGGGAGAACCAGTGGTTCTTCTTCGACGTTCAGCTCCATCCGTATCAGCTGCATTTCCGCCGCAGAGTCGAGGACGGAGACGAGTCAGCTGTTGGGATGTGGGAAGACTCGTACGCAGAGTTAGCTCAGGTCCGTGGGCAGATGTGTGTTCAACGTATGTAGCGGTCTGGTGTACAAGCTCCAGCAGATCTCGCCCCCCCTAGGGGCTGGGTGTCTCCTCACCAAGAGAATTTGAAAGGAACTAACCGGCCCCCATGGGAAAGGCAGCATCGTCGGCGTGCTGAACCCTACGCTGCTGGATGAGAAGACAGTGGAACGCGGCCCATCCCTCGGGGTCGTGCATCCGGTTTCACATCTGGCTTGTCGCATTAAGGACTGCCATCCTAATAATATAAGCTTTAACAGCTATGCCCAAACACATAGCTATTTAATTTCTTCTATTCTTTAGATAATTCTTATTAACTGTTCCCTCTTCTTCTATACCTCACTACTAACTTAGTCGCTGTATACTTAGAATCTCTAATAAAATTAATATACTCGGTTAAGAGGCGAGGTACATTCCCAGGGCAATGATAATAAATAGTAAAGGTAGGCGAGTACGTAGCTAGGAACCGAGCCGAGTGGCGGTGTTTACCATCCTTGGCTCAACAGGGATAGTGGCGCAGTAGCGTTTGATTGGAGTGGTGGCGCAGGGTCTGTGGCGCAGAGTCTGTGGCGATGGGGATTTGGCGTGGCACGAGGATTCGGGCGAAGTTTGGTGGCCTTTCGGAACGAGCCTGAGAAGCAAGGCGCTTGCCTTGTGAAAGTGATTTGAAAGTGAAAGAAAGAGCTTGACACAAGCACTTGACTTGTGAAAAAAGAACGATGTATCTTTTTGATCGGGATGTGGACGGAGTCAGCAACGGAGAGACGGGGTCTTTGGGGGTCCGGCTGCCTGAGCATCAGCAACTCATTGATAGAGAGTCCACCCGCAGCGTGATGGTCTCCGTCCGGCTTTATCTAACTTAGAGTCTGTACGCATGGGAATTGGCCATGCTCAACGATTGTGACCCAACATATATTGGCTATGGGGAATTGAGGGACCCAGTGCCTCCAAAGCCCAGGTCTAGTAGCTCATATCAGCAATAGAGGAGTGCTCAGATTCGTTTATGGGGATCGCACATCAGCCCAGGCTCACGTGGACGGGAAGGAAAGGAGGAGCGGCGTTATGGAGCCGATGCTGACCATCACCCAACTAATCAATCTTGTCTTTCCATTCTCTCACTACAGTCCTGGAGCAACATAAAAACACAGGTCCAGCATGATCTGACCCGAGGTTATTTAAATACCACTTATTCATCCTTAACCCTCTTCTCCCCGCTTTCTTTCCCATCTCTCAATCTCACCAAAACATCCCACATGCTGATCCACAGCCATGGTCGACACGGTGGATTTGCACTAAAAAATCACCAAACTCACTTTAATAGCAAGAATGAGTTGTGGTGGACCGGTAAGCCTCCTAGATAAAACGCCTGTACCGCAGTGTGGGCAGAATTTGTAATGTGTCGTCTTGGAGCCGAACGCGTAGCTTGTCAGAGCGTCCTCATCGCCCTTGATGACCCTGAACTGCCCAGGACTTGAGGGGAAGACCCAGAGATAACCCCTCTTAGAGCAAAGGCTGCAGTTGAATTCGTTCACGATGCTGATCGCAAGGAGGTCGACCTCGTAGACGAACGTGCTGCAGTGGCAGTTACCACGCTTGTCAACACAATGGGCGATGGGCAGCTCATTGGCCATTCAGGGACTGTTATTTTATTTTCCGAGTGACAACCACATAGCGGCCTGTCAACTGTTCATCGATCTTGTATTCAGATCCATAAATTAGGGAGGAGAAGATGACAGCATTTCAACTAAATTCCACTAGTCCACCGTCAACAGTGTTTCTATTAATAATTGTGTATTCGCTAACCAGCCTTTGATTGAGGCGCGAGAAATCTATATATCCCATCCCAAGTGAAACTATCTCAGAACCAATTTAATTAATGAAATCCCACTTTAGAACTTCGCAGTGAGACTCCATCCCATTCGATGAATCCTTGCAGCCATAATAAACACTGTGCCAGCGAAGCAGAAGGCGCCGGCAAAGATCTTGATACCCCTCAACCCATCGGCACCGTCCATGATGGCACCGTTAATAGGGTTAGTAGTTAAGCCACCGATACTAGAAATAAAGAATACGATGCCTGTTCTAAAACCAATCTCTTGAATAGGTGAGATCTGTGCCACTAAAGGTGCGATGAGGGAAACGTATGCGCCAGAGCAGAAACCAAAGAGTGCGGCAAAGGCGATGATTCCACCAGTGTTGCTCACAGGGATCCACAGCGCAAGGGTCCAGATAGAAGTGAGGTAGCCAACGATGACAAAGATGTTATACCGACCGACGCGGTCGCCCATGACGCCGGAGAAGATACGACCAAAGAGACTCGCGGCGTTAAGAATGGGGACAAGATACTCGATAAGGTTGGGATCCATACCAGTGGCTTGTGCCTGGACGGGAAGGTAGTTGATAGGCACGTAGATGCCATACGTAAATAGGAAAAAGCCGATAGTAAGCAAGATAAACTCGGGCTCATGGAAGGGCCTTGCGAGTTCCTCCTTGGTGATGTTCTTAGGACGGGGAGGGTGGAAAGCACGGACTGTCAAGTTGGCGACAATAAGCAGGGCGAGGAGGAGAAAGCCGCAGATGCGCATCGACCAGCCGAAGCCAACCTTTTCGATAAGACGTGTGACCATGATGGGGAATATAACACCGCCAAGACTGGAACCCGTGGCGAGAATACCAAAGGCGGCACCACTGTTAGTGCTAAACCAGCCGTGGATGGTGTTGAGCGCTGTAAAGTGTTAGTGTGAGGGCCAACACGAGAGTTGATGATGCAATGCTAACCTGGCTGGAAGATGGCAGAGACTCCCAGAGCAGAGCAAACACCCTGGGCAAGCATGATCTGATAATACTCCGTGCCGAGTGAGGTCATCATAATGCCGAATACGTGGAGAAAGGTCCCGATAAGGATAAGTTGACGAGGTCCATGTCGATCATACAGCATGCCGATGATCGGACCCTTGAGAGTCAGGTTAGCTAGTAATATCGAAAAGGAAAACGACCCTCATTACTTACCATAGCCATCATGAAGAAAATTTGCAGGGAAGGGATCCATGAGATAGTACTGGCGGAGTACTTGTTAAGGAGAGTATTCTGGTAGTACTCCTGGAAGACTCCGACACCTAGAACGAGTTAGACTTGAAGCCTGGAACGAATTGAAGGTTGCATACTGTTGATCCATCCGAAACTACAAAAGGATGTGCACCAAGCACCGAGCACGACGAGCCAGGCAGTGACACCACCATCTGGAGCATCACTCTTGTAAGGTGCGGGGGGTGCCGCCTCCTCATCGGGTTGTTCCGTGACCGACGACTTGTCGGTTAAACCATTATCTGGTTCCTGGACAGCGGTCTTCAGCGTCATGCCGGTCATCTGGGAGTCAGCCGAAGAGGCCAAGGACGCTTTGATTGCCATCTTTGTTTGGGGAGGGAGGTGGTTTAGTGCGGCTGAAAGGAGGTTAAATGGGAAAAGTGGAAGCTAGAAATCTAAGGTGGGAAGGCGTGATTTAGAAAGGAAGACCGGGGTTTATATCGTCTTTTCACAGCTGGGCCGCTTTGAGAGGCAGTCCGATGTCCGAAGAGGCTCGGCGCCGGAAGGGCGAGCGAGCGGTCTATTGCGACGGTCAAAGGTGTCGGCTCCGAGAGAATGTGTGGTCAAAAACAAAGATTCTCGGCCTTCAAAAGGGTCTTGGAGAAATGCCAGACGAATGGCCCCCTCATCGCGTCTTCGCTCTTCGGATCGGATATTGCTTGCAGCTTGGAGTAGGGTCCCTTTCGGCGCTGGCGCAAGAGTGGGAGCCGAGGCCGAAGCGCCCATCGACTTGAAGCAGCCCAGGCCTCGCCACTGTGGAGCGCCCTAACCGGAACAAGGATAAGTGTTGTCCACGAACCGGCACAGGCCATTGTTCGGTGTTTGTCTCTGCGCATGAATCAGATCAACGTGAAGGCTAATTCCGAGTCTATACTGATCGCACGCTCTCTTCTCCGACACCACGATCTTGTGGCGGCTTTTGAACCCCGAGCGTTTGGCTAGTGTCGCGATCTCGGCTCTGTTCGCGCTGATGACGAGTTCAAGCGCAATTTGGCGCTTATACAGAAGTCCCCACCACGTATATGTATGGCGCAAGGCCCCCAAGCCCAAACCAGGAGCTCTTCGGCTCGCCCCCTAAACATCAGCCGACACCGAAGCCCTCCTCTACTGCGTGTCCATTGATTCACCAACTGGCCCTTACGAACGGCGCCGAAGGGACACCGACGCATGCTCTCTACGAAGCCGTACAAACCCCTACAAAAATTACAAACAGCCTGCATATATTGATAATATGGCCTCCACGCCCCTGAGCATGGCCGGCCAGTCACGGGCCTCGCCGTCGACCGGCCGCCGAGTAGAGCGGTCCTGTGTCATCTGCCACCGCCGCAAGGTGCGCTGCGACAAGCAGTCGCCGTGTTCGCAGTGCTCCCGCGGCGGGTACACTTGCCTATACCCGCAGACCGGGCCGCCGGTGCGCCGCGTGCGGAAAACGACCATCACGGACGTGGCCAGTCGCATTTCTGAGCTGGAGAAGACGTTGATCACGGTTTCTCGTGAGCAGGAGACGAAATTGAGTCTTAGGCCTTTCAACCCAGCTCCAAGTCACACCGGTGCAAGCCAAACCGGTAGAGATTATACCAGTACAAGTCATACTAGCACAGCTTACCAAACATCTCCCGCTGTTGAGCCGCCAGGTCGGCCCGCCAGGTCGGAATGCACCGACGACAGCCCTACCGACGAGGTCTTGCTGAAGAAGGGGTCTTCCAGCCAGTATTTCAACGAAGTCCTCTTCTCTCGCGTGATTGAACAGGTGAGATCCATTAATGCCAAGCAATAAGAATGTCTAGGCGCCTGGGCTAATACCATACCATCAAAGGAACATGACGTTCGCTCGGCGCTCTCAACGCCAAGGAGCCAGTCTCCACAACAATTCACCTCATCACCATTCAACCTGATGGGCATCCTGTCTAGCAAGTGCTTCGAGCAACCGCTCACCTGCTATCTGCCCACCAAGTTAGCGGCCATGCAACTGTGGAGAGTCTATGTTGACAGCGTCGACCCGTGCATAAAGATCCTCCACATTCCTACTGATGAAATCTCCATCTATACGACCATCGACGACCCCAATAACGCATCAACCGAGGTTTTGGCCGTATGCTATGCTGTTTATTTTGCAGCGACAGTTGCGTTAGAGCCCGCTGAAGTGGCTAACTTACTTGAGGATGATAAATACTCGTGCCTTTATAAGTTCAAGAAGGGCGTGGAGCAGGCGTTTGCACGCGGCGAGTTTCTCGAGGCCCCAACTGTGGGTCTACTGCAAGCGCTTGCAATCTACTCGGTATGTGATACTCCCACTGGATGATGAGTGATACTAATAATAATTCTTGGCTAGGCCGCTGTACGAGTCCACAACTCCGGACGAGGCATCTGGGTTCTGAATGGCCTTGCCACCCGAGCTGCAGAGTCCATTGGTCTGCACAGAGACGGGAAAAAACTCAACCTATCTCCATTCGAGTCTGAAATACGCCGTCGTCTATGGTGGCACCTGGTCGCTCGAGATGGAAGAGCTGCTGAAGACCACGGTCTGAACAACACATACAGTCCCGCCCTCATGTCTGGTGTTGACTTGCCCCTCAACCTAGAAGACGTCGATCTATATCCAGAGATGAAAGAGCTGCCGCCGCCCCGTGCTGGCTGGACCCGCATGACGCTGGCTCTGGTAAATATCGAGGTTGCCCGGGTGTGCGGCAAGCTGCTGCAACCAGGTCCCGGTACTGGGACTCCGCGGGAGTTATTCCGTGCGCAGGTCGTCAGTGAGGCCAAGGACAAGATGGCCGAGGCCCTCAGCCGCTGTAACTATGTCATCCCTCGGCAGAGAATGACGATAAAAGTTGCGCAGTTGATTCTCCGAAAACTCGATCTCGTGTCCCGTCAGCGAGAGAGTGTGGACAGTTTCAGCGGGTTGGCTACCGAGGACAATCTGCTCGAGGCACTGAGCATTCTCGAAGAATCAGACAACATTTGGTCGGATGACCTCCTGCGGCCCTTCCGCTGGTCGATGCGCGCTTACCCGCAGTTTCACATGATGCTCTATATCCTGTGGTATCTCTGCGTTCGGCCGCAGGGCTCTAGCGCAGCTCGAGCGTTGGAAGCGGTTGGTTACCATCTAGAAAAGACGCGGACGACGGATGCATGTGCGACCAATGAATCTAAATGGATGGTGCTTGCAGCCCTGAAATCAAAAGCGATTTCCATTATGAATTGTTCCAAAGGCGACGATAGCCTTGGGGTTGACGGAGCGTGTTTGACGCCTCAACCTGCCGATGATAGCATGGGTCTGGTTGCATGGAAGACTGGGATGGAGACTAGCGGAGAACAGGAATTTGATAACCCGCAGGGGATACTGGATTGGAGAACCCTCTTAGAAGATTTTCAGCTAGATGCCACTGACTTGTCGATCTTTTAATTGACCTATTGTTGCATGTTCCAACAGTTGCTGTTGGCTGACTTGATTATCTCCATGTCCTTTTAACACTTCACTTAGCCACTTCTGCTGCTTACTGTGTATTGTTGGCGGCAAACAGCAAACCATCCATATATATATAGATAGGGATAGATAGATATAGATAGGCATCGAGTCTACGAGATATGTATTCGATTCGATGCGAATCCACAAAGGGCATATTCACTTCGAAGCCTGGCTCAAGGCTGGGATGAAGGGAAGCAGTTCGGTCTTGACATTGGCAGCAACCTTGACTGGGATAACCTGAGGGAAGACGAGATTGTGGAGCAACTTGAATCCCTAAGGCCAATAAGATAGCAGTGAATTGATTGTATCTGTCCGTGTATCAAAGGCTATATCTACGAGTGGGAGAAGAGGGGAAAGAAGTAAAAGCGATATTTTTCTAATAGAGGTTGGCTGTGATTAAGTAAGTACTAAGGGGATTTCCCCTTTATACTTATAGAGCGGAGAATATACGGAGCTTATATATAACAGGTCTTATATATATATCTTTACCTCAGATACTAAGGCTTACTTACTAAGTAAATAGATATATAGATTATATAATTTTAGTAGTATTATTTTTTTAGAGAAGGTATCTTATTATTAAGTATATCTAGTAGGCCTGAGTATCTAAGGTAAAGATATAGAATTACTACTATTATATATTATACTAATTTTTTATAGAATTTTAAATATATACTATAAAAATACTAATTATATCTAGCTTCTTTTTTTAATAATATTATTACTAATTAAATTAAGTCTTATTAGAATTATTTTTTTATAAAAATAAACTTATTAAGATATATTATATATATAATTATCTTTTAAAATTTCTTTTTATTATTATAGAATTCTTTTATTATTAATCTTTTTTTAATAACTTATTAAATTTCTTTTAGTTTATTTCTCTAACTAAATAAAAAATATATAGATAATATAAAAAAGATACTAGAGGATTTATATTTTATTATAAGATAAAATTAATTATATAAGCTTATCTTTTAAGTAAAATACCAGCTCTATCTTATTATACTAGAGCTATTAAGTTTCTTAATTTTAAAATATATAAATAGTATAATTATAAATAAAGATATATTACTCTACTAGCCTAGACTTAAATAAATATAAATATTATTATTTTACTATATACTTTTCTTCTAATAATTAAAGATAGTAATAAATTATAAATTTCTACTTTTTTATTATCTTATATACTAAAAAAAGGCCTAAGATAAAAAATAGAATATAAAATATTATAATTATTATAATATTAACTTAAAGCATTACTTGTAATAAATTATAAATTTCTACTTTTTTATTATCTTATATACTAAAAGAAGGCCTAAGATAAAAAATAGAATATAAAATATTATAATTATTATAATATTAACTTAAAGCATTACTTCTATCTAACTGCCCCTACTATTCTCCCCAACTAATATAATAACCTATAATCTACTTAAAACTACTAATATAATCCTAATTATAAATAAAATTAGCTTATAGAAGTATATAAAATATATTCTATACTAATACTTAATCCTCTAGAAGTATAACTTATTAAGAAGGAGTAGAATATATAAGTTAAGCTATATTAAGCAGATCTTACTGTAAGGGGACAGATCCGTCGATGTTGCGCGGAGGGAAATGCCGTGTATTGATCGTCTATTTAAAGCTGCAGAAGAAAGAAGAAGAGTCTTACCCATGGTCTCGAAGCGAGCCCCTATCTAGGTAGCTGCGAGGGCGGTGTGTTCTAGCAGTAAATTTCTCTCTAACCGGATACAGCATAGCTGTATCCCTCAATCCAAGGCTTCAGCCTGTGATACTTACTATAGATATAGTATAGAAAGATATCTTAGTTTGTAATTCCCTTCAGACTTAATATAAAGTTATAAAACTGCTTTTAAATAATATCTAGTAAAATAAGATATAAGCTGGGATTTTAGGTAATATATAAGTTAGACTTATATTTTATGAAATAGTAATATATCTATAAGTAGCCTAGTATTGCTTATTAAATATATTTAAATTTTCTGCTACTAGCTTCTATATAGAGGTAGTTTTTTTAGAATATATATAATATAATATATTATAAAAGTAACTTAATAAAGATATAATTATAAATCTATATTAAATAGAGCTTTAGGTTTTTATAATACTAATAATATATTATTTTACTAACTGCTAGTAAAAAAGATAATATATTTTTACTATTTTATTTTAATATCTACTAAAGTCTATTAGTAATTTAATTTAGATTATCTAAGTAAAATTCTCTAGCTAGTAAGTTTTATATCTTATTTTAGTTTTCTAGAAGAATATAAAATATTCT